GGCCCGCTGTGCCAAGGAGCTGCCGCCACGCTCTTGCTCACGCCGTCCCGTGCCCTGGGCGAGGGCGCGGGCAAACTTGTGGCTCTCGCGGTGCATGCCCAGGCAGGCAGCAGAAAGCGGCCGGGATTTGTCCAGGACGGGATGCGTTCGGTGTGCGCCACGCTTGGCTCTGCACCCGGCTCCCTCGGCCCTTGGGGTCTCGCTGTTGGATGCAGGGCATCCTTTACTGCAGGCCCCGGGGCCAGGCTGGTCCTGGCCTGCGGCCCCCAGCTCTGCCGATGTCCCTGACCCTGGCCCAGGTGTCCCCAACAGCAGGTCAATCCGTTGCCCTGGCCCTGAGGAGCCGTCACTGCAGATTCACCTCGTGGGGACTTTCATTAGCAGCCTGCCACTCATCAGCCCCATCTGTGCTCCTAGACGGGGAGAGACACAGGCATGGCTGCTGCCACGCGGACCAGGGGCCCCGGCGCAGGTCGTGCACAGAGAGACACGCTAATGCACGCAGCCCAACGTGCACACGCAGCCCAACGTGCAAACGCATCCCGATGTGCACACGCATCCCAACTTGCACATGCACCCTGAGAAGCAGAGACAAGCTTGTAAAGACACATGCAGAGACATTACGTGTGCCTGTGTAACCCTGCATTTGTGCGCACGGACGTGCTTGGAGGGACATGGAGAGACACTTGTGCACACTCAACTGCGCGCTGCTCAGCGTGCACGTGCACAGGCACCCAGGCATTTGCTGCACTCCTCCTCTCTCCCACAGATGCAGCTGCACGCTCGGAGGTGCAGGAGCTGGGCGACATCTCGGTGCACACCTGTGGCACGGTGGCATGTGCACGCTCACACAGGCAGTGCTGGCACCAGGGCTCACTGCACACCCCCGTCTGCATGCAGAGTCGCATGGATGCACCGTGTACATCCCGGCACATGCAGGCACCTACTCGGGTCCCTCCCTGCACCCCGGCAGAGCCCTCCACTGTGCCGCGCCACTGGCCACCACATTAGCACCCGTGTGGCGCCAGCGAGATAAATGGGAGCTGTCACAAGCACCTTGTTTGCTGCTAACCTTTGGAAATGCCACACCGCCCCAGGCTGCGTTGCGCTGGGGGGAGCAGGCCCGCGGGGATTGTCGCTCACCACCTCCAATTAATCTCCTTGCACTAACGAAGGCGGCGGAGTGACAGGGGGGATACTGGCTTGACCCTGTGCCTGTGGGGAGAGCTGAAGGTCCTGATTCATGGATCAGTGCCTGCTCTAGCACCCTGCACTGAGGCTCAGGGAGGTGAGGATGCTCAGGGCAGTGAGGATGCTTGGGGCAGTGAGGATGCCCGGGGTGGTGAGGCTGGTCAGGGCACTGAGGATGCTCGGGGCAGTGAGGATGCTCGGGGAGACGAGGATGCTCAGGGTGTTGGGGATGCTCGGGGCAGTGAGGATGGTCAGGGCAGTGAGGATGCCCAGGGTGGTGAGGATGCTCGGCAGTGCGGGACAGGCTGGGACCAGGGCAGGGGTCAGAGTGGCTCCTCCTTTGCCTTGAGCCGCTCCCCGGGTGTTGCTGCAGGGGTGCGTTGCTCCCCGCCGCAGGGCAGCCCTGTCAATCCTCTCCCTCCCTCTGCCAAGGTGACCCGGCCCCGGGGGAGCAGCTGACGGCACTTGGCCCCGCCAGCAAATGGGATGTGAGCGGCCATCACTGCTGGCCCTGACAAGCCAAATTGATGCCGGCACCGAGAGCCTTCCTGGTCCCTCCGCAGCCATCCCAAGCCCTTCCTGCACCCTTGCCCTGCTGCGTTTGCACACCCAGAGCATAGCACAGGTGCTTGCACGTGTGTGGCAGACGTGCACAGCCCATATGCACACAGGGAAGTGCATGAGCAGTGATGTGCACAGGGGCACAACAGCAGCACAGGCACATAACACCCTCATGGGGTGGTGCATGGATGCAGTAACATATGTGTGCACGTACACAGACACAGACACACACACACACATACACACACACGAATGGTGCCTCGCAGCAGAGCCCTGCACACGCCGGAGGCATGCCACGGCCCTTGTGCAGCACGAAGGAGCGAGCACGGCCAGAGGCAGCTCTCCGCACACATGCGTGCAAGGTGCTGGGACCCCGCACATGTGCTTGCAAAGCATGTCTGAAGGGTACACATGCACCTAGGTGCACACTGCACCCTGACTGCTCGCAAGCAGGAACATTAATATTTAAAGCGAGGTGTGAGTGAGACCTACCTGGAGCGCCCGTGGCACTGGTGGGGCGCGGGAGAGGCTGACCTTGTCTCCCCTTAATGGCTGCTGCGGGAGGGTCTTGCCACATCCCTGCCCAACTGCATCCCCTCTCCCTGCTTCGCCCTGTGGGGCCGAGGTTGGTCCTCATGGCGGGCACTGGAAGGGCTGCGTGCGGGGCCAGCCCTGACCGGTGCGCAAGCCCTCGCGCACATCCGGCGGCCCTGTTCTGCAATTCCCTTTCATCCGTGGCTGCCTGGCATTGCCGGCTCTAGGGGGAGCAGGGGCAGTGGGGCTGCGTGCCAGCGACGGCTCTCCCTGCAGGGATGGGGCCCCTGTCCCCGGGGAGTACCCTGACCATACCCCGTCCTGCCCCTGTCCTGACCCCATACCCAGGCACGAGCCCAGCTGGGGACCTGCAGCCCTGGGTGACGTGCTGAGCTGGTGCCAGCGCCTCCTTCCCCATCACATCCCATCTCCACCATTTCCCCGTTGCCTCTCCATTCCCATTGCATCCCTGTCCCCATTGCATCCCCGTCTCCTTTGCATCCCCATCCCCATTGCATCTCCATCCCCTTGGCATCCCCGTCACCACTGTTGTTCCCGTCCCCTCGGAAGGAGCGGGGCCAGGGGGTTGCGGGTGCCCCTTCTCCCACCTGGGCTTGCTTCTTGGTAATTGCCTCCTTGCAGAGGGCCTGGAGAGCCGATGGGTTTGTACGAGAGGGGTTAACGGCAGGGGCAGAGGAGCCCAGGCCCCCCCCAAGAGCTGCTCGCCTGCTGCGGCCAGGGCTGGGGGGGACAGCCCGCCCCCCCTCCCCCAGTTATCTCTCCATCTCGGGGCCCTGCCGCGATCTGGCTTTCTCTCTCTCTCTCTGGCTGTAAAGGCGCCCGACTTTGAAGCTGCCTTGAAATATAGATAAGGGTGAATGCAGCAGCCGTGTTCAGAGAGCGATCAGAGGGGGCTGGGGAGGTGGCCAGAGCCACCCGGGGGGCTGCGGGGATGCTGCACGCCAAAC